AGCATGACGGACCGTACGGGGCTTATGCTCACTGTGAGCTGGCTAGCTAAACATTGTATGCCTAATTTCGCTATGCTGAGAAATTGTACATTACATTATTATTTTTTATAAGCATGATTGTTTGCATGGTCAAATTCGGGTTTATTTTACAGTTTATTTATATACAACATTTCCATGTGGCGATATACTTTCACAACATACTTATCGCTTCAGACACATAACATTGTAATATATAATCGTGTGTATTATTTATTATTATTAATTTGATTGCAACGTTATATTGTCCTAAAGTCTATTTCTCACCGTGTACCACTTGCATAAACACCGCATCCAACTTCCCATTGCTTTGGCCAATTATCACAAACAAGCATTACTTTACTGGTCACTTTTGTACAAACACAATTTTTCTCCTAGCAGGTGTTTTATATGGAACAATAGTAATATCACTCACAATAACAAGTCATTGTATATGGAGAATTGGGTTCGGCATAACATATTAATTGTAAACCAGCTTATTGACAAGAATGGGCAATTATACACTTACCCTAATTTTATTACAAAATATAGCTTTTTTTGTAACGAAAAAGAATTTAACCAAGTAATCAAGGCTTTTCCTAGTGGCGTAATAATTTTAACCAAATTCTCTGATGTAAATATTAATAATACAAGCCTACAAAATCTCCAACTTTTTGCAAATGGTCTCTCCTTTTTTGACAAGCGTTTTAATAACAGTTTTATAAGAAACTCCCTTAATGTCGGATCCAATCCTCCATGTAAATCAAAATGGCTTAAACCTCATTGTATATCTTGGATGTTTGGATGTTACCATATAAATATGTAATTTCTAATAAAGTAAAACAAGTACTTTACAACATTATTCACAGATATTATCCTGTAAACGCAGTTGTTAGCAGATATATTCATAGTGTTTGTGATAAATGTACCTTTTGTAATGTATCTGTTGAAGATATTGAACATTTATTTTTCTATTTGGATGTTACCATATAAATATGTAATTTCTAATAAAGTAAAAGAATTACTTTACAAAATTATTCACAGATATTATCCTGTAAATGCAGTTGTTAGCAGATATATTCATAGTGTTTGTGATAAATGTACCTTTTGTAATGTATCTGTTGAAGATATTGAACATTTATTTTTCTATTGCCCTTTTTCTATTTCATTTTGGGTTGACTTTAAAAGAGACATAACTAAAAAATAAAACAAATCCCTTAATTTAGAACCTCATGATATTTTACTTTGTTATCAAAACCCATCTTTCTCTGATAAACATATTTATATTATTAATCTGTTACTTATCTTAGCATAGTTGTATATTCATAAGTCAAAAGTAATTCAAAAGAAACCATCATATATTACGTTTGGTAACACTGATCTTAAAATATACTTTGAAACCCTTTCTAATATGAGATCACAAAATAAGAAACTAATAAAAACAATACAAATTCTAAAGCTTTTCAAAATTATGTAACTGCCCTAATGTATGTATTTTTTTTCCTTTTCATTCTGTTATTTTTATTTTATTTACATATGTATATATATGTTTGTATTAATTTTGCGTTTTTGTTGTTGCCGTTGTTCTGTTTTGCATGCTTTGAGATGTGCAACGTTTCCCTGTTTGCATTGTCCCTTTGTGTGATGGAACTGAATAAAGGGGAAAAAATTAAATTAAATTAAGTAACAAACAAAGAATAGTAAATGCAACAAAAATACACAGAACGAAAATACTCAGAGAGAAATACAGCTGGTATAGGATGAGGAGAGTGTCTAAAAAACATGTTATGACTGATATAACTGGGTAAACAAGTAGGTTTTGAGTTGTGATTTAAATACAGAGAGTGGTTTCTAGTAGTCCTACTCAGCTTCAGTATTTAATTGTACACTGCACATCAGAATGGATGAGTTGTGGATACACATGTGATGTGGTCACATGCATTTCAGTGATCCAGGGCCAGTTGCACCAGCTGTGTGTAAGCTACAACTTAGCTAGCTGCGACGTAACAGGGCACTAAGTTACAACTTATTCACTACTAAATATTTTTGCAGTGCATCATTAAGCTTGGTTGAAACATAAATTTAGGTATAAGCTAAATATTTACAGAAACCTCTAACTAGAAGTATCAGTTGATAAAACACCAATATGCTTATGTTTTACAGACTTGAATCTTTTACACATATATGATAATGTTGATCATTGACTGGTTTACATTTTATTGTGTTATTCATAATTAAGTACTATAAGGTTTTAATGGTAATGTATTTTTGTACCCTTATTTAAGTGAGGCAAAAGTATTTAGAATCAAGAATAAACTGAAATTCATGGCATTTCAACTGCATTTTCATGTATCTGAAGGCTGCTATTGGATCATTGAAGGTAAACATCACAATATGTGAACTTACACGTTACTTACAGTGAGCTTACAACATACTAGATACACTCTGTCTTAAAAACTAATAATGCAACCAAAACTGAGTACAGAGTTGGTTACATACTAGTTACTAAGCCACAAGTGTGGACTTTATGCTTCAATTTAAATAAGAACATATGAATATCTGGTGCAACCCTACCCCCCTCACAAACAGTTTTAAGATTGGTTTCACCTTATTTTTGGCTGTGATCTAATTACATGTTAATTCCAGGTGTAAATTATTCAACTGCTATATATAATGCTGAATATAATGTATGATAATGCAATTGGAGGTTTGCAAATTGTTGGTCCTGCTGATTGCCAAACTACCCAATTTAACTCTTCTTTACTTCGGCTTAGTTTTAACTAGTATGGTGAGAGCATTATATTGTGAGATCAATATTGTGCATCACACCAAATCTTGAAATGAGTATATCATTATCATTACTGTATCATAATGAAGTTCCAAACGTAGGTTTGGGAGGAGCCTATTCATTCAGTCCTCTCAATCATCATTACGAGCATATATAAGCCAGCACTTATTGCACCTTCCCAGCGACATTTCTTCCGGCATCCCTCCACCTCCCCATCTCCTCCTCTATTTCTGTTATTCTCCCTCTAGGTAGTACCGCAAAGGGGGGATTTGAACTCGGAGCTCAAGCCGAGCCTCGGGTTCAAGCCTCCATTGAGGACAGCAAGTCAAGTTTGTTTACCATTAATCATCAGGACTGGATAGGCAGGCGAACTCGTGAATTAAAAGTACATTTTAAACTCATCAAAAGATACTAACTGAATACTGAATACATGCTTTGAATCAATCTTGTGGGCTTGTAGGCCATACATTATGGACTGTAATATGTTCTGGAGATTGGCATATTCCAATAATTTTTCCCTTTAACACACACACACACAAGAATATAATCAGGAGACAAATAATCTATTCCTATTCATATTCAGAACATAGAAAAACAGACCTTAATAATATATAATTCTGCTCTTATTGATTAATTTAACTGGTTTGATGAAGTTGAAATTATCTCAATCATTATCTCAACCAATCAGCTAACTTCCTGACAACATACAGTACTTGAATCAACCCATACAGCACAGTTTGTCTCCGTTTCTCCACCTTTCCTCTCTTTCCACTCATCTATTTAACCCCACTATTTAACCCTGTCATCTGCTGTAGTTCAGGATGTTCAGAGCTCTTCTGAATGATTGAGATCCCATCCATATCCAGCTCCACTGAATGAACACTGAAGGAGCCAATGCCCTGTCAAACACAACAGCAGGACCAACAACATTCAATTTGTTGGTTAATTTAAGGGTTAAGGGCTTCTTGACATACAGGCTGATATCTGACACTGAACTGATTCACGCTACTTTGATTTTTTGTAATATGATGGAAAAATACTACTCTATGTTTTGAACTCATGGAAATAAAATGATTATTTAATGTATTTTTCAGAAAAATTCACCAATAACCCATATCATCCTTATGTCTCATCCTCTCTGCAGGCTTCAGCACACTCCTCTGCATTGGTCACCAGCTGCTCTGCGTTCTGTACGATGGAGGGTAAACGCGGATACCAGCTCCGCACCACATCCTGCACACACACAGTGATCCAGTGAAACACAACTCATCGTTCATGAAGTCTTGACCGTCACCATCAGCCGCTCGTACCTGCAGCAGGTTCCGTGCTAAATGCATCTTTCCAGTGTAAACCAGAAGAAGATGCTGCTGCAGGACAGAAAGGAAGTCTTGAGTCAGAGAGAGCTGTTCTGCTTCCATTCTCAGCGGTAACTGAGCTGCAGATCGTGTCACCTTCATTTTCCAAACACCTGAACATTTGCCTGAAGCAGTACAGTGAAGAAAATGTAGGTATGGTTTGAACTGCCAACTTAGACAGCATTTTAGGAACCATCACATCACCCAGTATGATTAATGTTCCAAAAAGTCAGCACCAAAATTATGCATCCTTGTAAGATTTCTCATTTTGACCAAATTCTGATACAGTGAACATGTATACTTCACAAGTAATGCAATGCATTATGATGAAATATTAACTTTAAATATAACTATAGATCTGTATGATTATAAATGAAAAACTCAATTATTGTGTTCCATGTATTCTTGTGATTTATTAGAGGGAGTCAATAACTTCGGACTCTTTTGGAACTAACTGTAAGCATTAGCGGAGTCACTTATGCAGATCTCTTGAGGAGCATGTCTTGAGGTTTAGAATGTTGCGTTAGAAGCTTATGACAAACAATACATAAATATTAGTAGGCAGCAAAGCACTGGAACAGCACTTCTGTGTGTCTATGCACATAAATCTGGGATTAAAAATAAATGCAAATTTATGACAAAGGAAACAAAAACACTCACTTTTAATTAGTTATCAATATATGTTTATACAGCTCCACTAATGTGAACTACAATTAACCTAGACATTCAAGGTTAAACAACTGCTTATACCTAATAGTTTTAGAAATGTTATTAATATTTTTGATGTCAAAATTATAAATGTCAACATTATAAAGACAAGTTTTCTCTTTTATTGATGTAATTCAAGTTTTCTTAGAGTTTTCTTCTTGCTTGCCGTGTTTCTTCAATATTCTTGGGAAAAGCTTTGAGATGTTGGGTTGGCCATGTGCTCTTCTGGTTTCCGATTGTTCCACAGACTCAGGGACGGACCTCAAAGACCCGAATCCTGAGCTGTGAGATGAGACTTTTGACCGCGATGAGCTAACAACTGAACCGCTGTCTGCTCCTGATCGTGATCTGAATGAACTGTAAGCAGAACTTCCCACAGACCTTGTGTCTGACCGCTCATCTCCACTCACTGGGGAAAATAAAATAAAAATCAGTAAGAGGATTAAAAACTCCTACAGAACAAAATTCTGAAATTTAAATCTTTCAATATATTTAAAAAAAAATTATGTAGTCTTTTAGTAATAATTACCAGGTGCCCTTTAAAATATTTTACAAATACTCTATTAATCAGATGAAAATTTTATTTTTGTCTATGAAATATATTACAAGCCTGATCACTATTTATTGCAACTATTTAAAATTTACCATATAGGTTTATAGAGTCTGAAACTTTCAAAAACTTTTGACGAACAAATTATCAGTAAAAACAAGTGCTTAAACTCCAGAAAATGTTGATCATCAACCTAAGGACCTAATTTTATTTCATTTCAGGTTTGCATTTGCTGTTATAGTTCATATCACCTTTGCTATATGTGTAAAAATTTAGAAAATGGAAGATGTACAAAGAAAAATTTTTTTGAGGAAAAACATGGTAACAAATTTATGACAATGTAGACAAAATCATATATTTTCACAACATAGGACTCACGGAAAACAGGGAGACTGGGAGACCAAAGTATACTGAAATATCTAAAAATAAATGAAACAAAATAAAACAAAATGCACTCACAGTTTGGTGATAGTCTGTCCATGCTGTTATGTTTTTTTATGGCCCCTGACCCATAACTTGCGTGAGATGAATCTCTGGACTGTGATGATCCAAAAATTGAGTATGCTCCTGATTGTGATCTGAATGAACCATAAGCAGAACTTCCCATAGACAATGAATCAGATCCATCATCTCCACTCACTGTAATAATGAAAGCAGAGAGCAGATCAGTAGTAGAACATTCACATTAATGCATTTGACAGACACTCTTATCCAAAGTGACTGACATGACATTAAAGGAATATATTCATCAGTTCATGTGGTTGTGAATTATTCAGATAGTCAATCAAGGTTATGTCATCTCTAAATGGGTCAGGGAATGGAAGATTCCCTTCACTGCAGCACTTTGGTTCACACAGAAACAGAACATTAAATGATTGTAATATTCAAGCTGTTTGACTTTGACCCTGCAGCTCTGACTTCCAGTGTTGGGGTAACGTGTTACAAGTAAAGTGGTTTTGTTATCAGATTACTAGTGAAATAACGCATTACTTTAAATTACAACAAATTAATGCAATATTGTAATGCATTCATATTTAAAGTAACTTACACCATCATTGCTGGTTTCCTAATTAATTTAAACAGGGCTGAACCTGATGAGTATCAGGATGGGAGGATATTTAAGAAAAACTAAAACTGTACGACATGTTAGTGAGTGTTAGAGCTCAACCTGAGATCTGTATGAAGGACACTAAACTATTTAAAACTACACCTGGACAACTCAAGAATAATGAGGAGGAAACACAACTGAGACTGTGTGTAGATAATATTCATACAATTTTATGATTTCACTCACTAGTCTGTGATCTGTTGTCCTCTCTCCAATTGTCCATTTGTTCTTTCGTTTTCTTTATACCATCAATCTCCTGTAAAATATTTCTATCTATTTCAAAATGGCAGCTGTTGTTTTGTGTCACTGTCTCCTCAATCTTCTCCAGCAGCTCCTTGATCTGAGTGTGGTCGCTCCTGTTCTGATTGTTGAGAACATGATATCTGTTCCCACATTTGTCCAGCAGCCACTGGAGATCCTGCCCTTCACTCTCAATGTGCTGCTCTATAGATGTGTCTAACAGAGAGTCTCCATGAGTGAACAGCACTATAGTGTGACTCCAGACTCTCTCACCGAGAAGATCCAGATGACCCTGCAATGCTTTTCTCTCAGTCTCTTTAAATCTAGTTTCCACACGTATGATCAGTAGTACAGCGTGTGGTCCTGAAGGACACAGAGACACACTAAGCACAATCTCCTGTTTCAGTAACTCAGGACTCTTCTCTACAGTGTAATTACTCCACCATCCTGGAGCTTCAATGACAGTGATGTGTCTGTCTGCTACTTCTCCATGTCTCCTCACACACTGAGCAGATCTCTTCAAGTCAAACTCCTCTCTGCCCAGGATGCTGTTTCCTGTTGAACTCTTACCAGCAAGTTTATACCCCATTAACACAATCCTCAGCTCTGAGAGACGTTGGACATCCCCTGTAACAAACATAGAATAAAACACACTTATGCAAAATATTGTACTGAGAATGTGTAAATAACTGCTCTAAAAAGGTCAATCCATCTCATTTGGTCCAAAATTTCTAAAGTTGGTTGCGCAACCATTTTGGATTTTCCTGATTTTTATGGTTACCTACTGTATATTACACGTATTCGTGAATGGAAACTTCAATGTCTCAGCTCAGGAAGGTTGTAGCTCCTTGGATCAAAAAAATTATCTTAAAGCACATTACAAGGTATTTTTGTAACCTTGGCGAGATCTGTGCCTTGCCACAATTCTGTTTCTGAGCTCTTCAGGCAGTTCCTTTTGACCTCATGATTCTCATTTGCTCTGACATGCACTGTGAGTTGTAAGGTCTTATATAGACAGGTGTGTGGCTTTGCTAATCAAGTCCAATCAGTATAATCAAACACAGCTGGACTCGAATGAAGGTGTAGAACCATCTCAAGGATGATCAGAAGAAATGGACAGCACCTGCGTTAAATATATGAGTGTCACAGCAAAGGGTCTGAATACTTAGGACCATGTGATATTTCAGTTTTTCTTTTTTAATAAATCTGCAAAAATGTCAACAATTCTGTGTTTTTCAGACAATATGGGGTGCTGTGTGTACATTAATGAGGAAAAAAAAAGAACTTGAATGATTTTAGCAAATGGCTGCAATATAACAAAGAGTGAAAAATGTAAGGGGGTCTGAATACTTTCCGTACCCACTGTATATAAACATTTAGCATATTCTTGTTCCTAGTTAGCCTTATAATTTAACACTGAATGTAATGATCAAGATCACATTTCTTCATTCAAGGACATCAGTAATGGGAAGGATTTGAGACTTTAGTTTTGAGATCTTAGTTTTATGCGGCTAAGAAAGTGCTTTTTTAAAATAAATTTTAAAAACCTCACTTTCAGGTTGATTTTCTCTGGTGGGGGATCAGATAAGAAGCTGAAATTGTCAGAGATACAGTATAAGTCTTCTCTATGGTAGCATTCTGCATAATAATTATAAATTTAAGATTCTTCTGGTTAAATAGCTAGAAGAAATCTGGGAGAAAAATATTAAGACAAGAATATGACAGGATTAACACATACTTTAAATAAAGATAAATGTTTTACCAAGTTCTGGATTAAGTTTGAGGCTAATTCTCACAAAACTGTATTTTCTGCAAGCCTTTTAAGGTAAATTACAAATATGTTTCAGTTTTCATAATTTACAATGTGTGTAAACAGTGTGACAGTAAAAACTGGGAGTAACAATAAATGTTATGTTTGTTTAGAGCTTTTTTACATGAATAACTACATGTAGCGCAATACCAAATGGGATCACAGGGAGATGCCAAAAGAGTACTAAACCAGCTGCCTTGACCTAACTGCATAGCAATAAGGGCGATAAAATAATCAACCTTTTTGGATTAGATTTGAGGATGCTTATTGGCTGATTGGCTAAAACTGCTATATAGACCCACTATCGCCTACTATATAGATTTCTCTATTGCCATAGAGCTGAAAATGAGACATGCGGACAGGCAAAGGCGACATATAGGGAGTAGGGACGATAATAATAAGTAATATTTTTCATTATTATTATTATTTTGTGTGTGTGGTTCAGGCGTTGTGGCGCCCTCTATTGGTCAGCCGCTACATGACAGTTGTGCACAAGGGGGCGCTGCAAACGTCCAAACGGGACCTATAACCAAATAACCAAAAATGTCCTGTAGGCCATGACTCAAAAACAGTTGCCGTGGTTAAATCAAGTAAAAAAAATACCAATACAAAGAAGTAAGCACTCAAAAAATTAGGAAAATTAAAAATGGTTAAGCAACCTGCATTAGACCACTGGAGATGGATTGACCCTAAAATTTCCTAAGCCAGGGATAATGTACAGTCATTATCTCAAATTTATCCTAAAAGTGTTATCAGGACCCCAAAGTGACATTGAGCATGTATGTTGAATTAGAAATGATGTTCATGAAATGCTAAGCACAATATTTAAGCATTCTTGACCAACAAACACCAAACAACATTTGTTGTCGGACTGATAACGTCAGGAAACATGTCATAATTTTCTTACTGATCCAACAAAACTCAAGAGTCACTGCAAACTGATGTTCTTTTTCTTTAAGTCTCTCAATAATGTCCATCATCCAAATGAAAACAGACAGAACAGAGAAACACAGAGCAGAATAACAAAACACAGCCGTGGCTGCACTAAGTATGTTGACTCACTCATCTGTGATCTGACGTCCTCTCTCTGTTTTTTCATCCTCTTCATTCGTTCTTCTGCTCTCTCTTTCTCTGCTCTTCTTCTCTCTTTCAACTCCTGTAAAATCTTTCTGTCTATTTCAAAATGGCAGCTGTTGTTTTGTGCCACTGTCTCCTCAATCTTCTCCAGCAGCTCCTTGATCTGAGTGTGGTCACTCCTGTTCTGATTGTTGAGAACATGATATCTGTTCCCACATTTGTCCAGCAGCCACTGGAGATCCTGCCCTTCACTCTCAATGTGCTGCTCTATAGATGTGTCTAACAGAGAGTCTCCATGAGTGAACAGCACTATAGTGTGACTCCAGACTCTCTCACCGAGAAGATCCAGATGACCCTGCAATGCTGTTCTCTCAGTCTCTTTAAATCTAGTATCCACACGTATGATCAGTAGTACAGCGTGTGGTCCTGGAGGACACAGAGACACACTGAGCACAATCTCCTGTTTCAGTAACTCAGGACTCTCCTCTACAGTGTAATTACTCCACCATCCTGGAGCTTCAATGACAGTGATGTGTCTATCTGCTACTTCTCCATGTCTCCTCACACACTGAGCAGATCTCTTCAAGTCAAACTCCTCTCTGCCCAGGATGCTGTTTCCTGTTGAACTCTTACCAGCTCTTCTATACCCCAGTAACACAATCCTCAGCTTTGAGAGACGTTGGGCTTCACCTGCAACAAAGACAAAACACACATATCTAAAACATTGTACTGAGAATCTGTAAATAACTAAAATGTCAATCCATCTCATTTGGTCCAACAATTCTAAAGTTGGTTGCTCAACCATTTATCTCATATACAAGATATATTAACATAAATAAAAATTTTCATTAAATGTAAAATGTAATGTTCAAGATGAGAGTTCCACATTCAGGAATGTTTAAAATGGGAAGGATTCAAGTCACATTTTTTTAGAGAGTGCCTGACTAAGTATAGTGCAGATGCAAAAATGTTCAGGTTTGAGCCTTTATAAATAGATTTGAGATGTTATTTTTATATGGCTGAGAAAGTTTGAGGTTTGAGGCTAATTCTCACAAAACTGAATTTTCTGCAAGTATTTTTAAGGTAAATTAAATATATATTTTAGTTTTCATAATTCACAATGTATGTAATGCTCTCAATGTCAAATGCAGAAACATCATGCATTCATGACCTCAAGGTTAGATTATTGTAATGCTTTATTGTGTGGTTGTTCTGCACGCTTAATAAACAAACTCCAGCTGGTCCAAAATGCAGCAGCTAGAGTTCTTACTAGAACCAGGAAGTATGACCATATTAGCCCGGTTCTGTAAAATAAGTCGAGATAACTGCAGGCTGGAGTAATAGGCATAGCAAAAGGTTAGGGCATGCCAAAAGGTAGGGGCGTGGAGAAAGGTCTTTATGATTGGTCGATAAAGCCGTCTGTCAGGGTGTGGGGGTAGAGTTGGGGGTAGGGTATTAGGAGTAGTTTCTGTTGTACTGATTCACCTTTCAGAACGCCTCCTTTTAGCACACCCATTGCTCCAGGCTGCAGCTACTATTTGGATCCATTCAGAAATACTAAACCCAGTGACACACATGAAAAATAAAAACTATTCTGAATATGATCTGAAGGCATGTTGACATCATCATTTATTAATTCCTCTGTCAGAGCGAATGTTCGTGTCTGCTTTTGAAGTGTCTGATGCCCATATGTGACCCTGGACCACAAAACCAGTCATAAGGGTCAATGTTTTGAAACTGGGATTTATACATCATCTGAATGCTGAATAAATAAGCTTTTGATGTATGGTTTGTTAGGATAGGACAATATTTGGCCGAGATACATCTATCTGAAAATCTGGAATCTGAGGGTGCAAAAAAATCAAATACTGAGAAAATCGCCTTTAAAGTTGTCCAAATGAAGTCCTTAGCAATGCATATTACTAATCAAAAATTAAGTTTTGATATATTTACGGTAGGAAATTTACAAAATATCTTCATGGAACATGATTTTTACTTAATGTCCTAATGATTTTTGGCATAAAAGAAAAATCTATAATTTTGACCCATACAATGTTTTTTTTGGCTATTGGTAAAAATATACCCAAGCGACTTAAGACTGGTTTTGTGGTCCAGGTTCACATATGTACATGGGTCATTCCTGGGATTCGGTGCCTTTTGTGTCCTCAGTAAATATCATGATATTATTGCCTTAAAATTTTAAAGTTGTCTTTGATGTAAATAACACCTTTGGAACTTTAAGCATATTTAATTTTTTTTTAATAATTCTAAACATTTTACAGCATTTAAACCACCAAATATCACCATCTTTCCTATGTCCCCGGGCCTGTCTGCTTTTTTGATGATCAACACGACACTTAATATGAGTGATTTTTTAAAATTATTATTTTGTCGTTTGCTATATCAGTAATTGTTTTCTCTAATGTATATATTTTTTCCAAGTATTAAATTCATGAAAAATAAGGTAACACTTTATTTTAAAGGTATCCTTGTTACACGTTACATGTACTTACTATTATAATAACAATTAATTATGCATAATTACATGTAAGTAATGCTAAGACAAACCCTAATCCTAACCATATAGTAAGTACATGTAGTTAATTAATATTACTCAGTACTTAAATGTATATGGCATTGTATTGTATTGTATAACTTTACACTATAACAAGGACACCTTAAAATAATACATGTTTTTAGCTTGTCCCTCAAAATATTGTCCACCCTGTTATATTGAACTACTAGCCCTTTAAATTAAAGTTGGAAAAAGGAAATTACATCATAGCAAATGGCTGACATCATTTCCTTGGAGGGAAAACTACTGGGGAAGGTGAGTGAGAGCATCTGTTTTGTTAATTGTCTGTTTTTACTTATTTTATCTTCCCAATTTGATGTGGTCAACTTCAAAATTTCCACCCTGTTAACAGTGGTGTAATGTAACGAAGTAATAATACTTTGTTACAGTACTTAAGTCTTTTTTGGGAGTATCTGTACTTTACTTGAGTTTTTATATTACAGCCAACTTTTACTCCACTACATTTCCTAATTAAAATGTATACTTTTACTCCGATACATTTCCCCGAAGCATATTCATTACTTACTACAAAAAAGTCAGAAGTCAGAAGAGCACGGACTGCAGGAAAGCAGATTTGACGAATCAATGGTCTGGCATCTGCAAGTTAGACTCGTTAAAACACCTTTGCTCATTTGCAAACAAGTGCACGCACAACCGGCGCAGATGATTTCATTTTCCACTCAAGTTGAGTCTGGGGTGTGCGATATACAGTATATCTTCTGCGATAATATTGTAAGTGTTGTTGTAATGATGTGCAATTTGACATTATCAAGTATATCACCAAATCACACAAACAGAGACAGAGTACATGCACGTGATTTATTAATCTATTACAGGGGTGCCCAAACTCGGTCCTGGAGGGCCGGTGTCCTGCAGAGTTTAGCTCCAACTTGCCTCAACACACCTGCCTTCAAGTTTCTAGTATGCCTAGTAAGAGCTTGATTAGCTGGTTCAGGTATGTTTAATTGGGGTTGGAGCTAAGCTCCTTAGGACACTGGCCCTCCAGGACCGAGTTTGGGCACCCCTGGTCTATTAAAACTCCAAATTTAAGGCATTCTAAATTGTAGACTGCAAAAATGCTTCTGTATGCTTTTTATATTTATATAATTTAAAATAGTTAACTTAATCTACATCACGCAAAGAGTACTGTTTTTCTGCAGATATCAGCATGATAACACATTTAATAATAATTTTATACAAGTTCAGTAAAGCAATAAGTGACTTACATTTTAGACATAATATTGCCTGTTTTTTCTCAATTTTGCCAATGAAAATAGTTACAAACAAAGATCACAGCACTGTTTTGCGTCTCTGAGCAATGGTGTTTACTTATTGAATGAATCAGCTTTTTGAACGAATCAGTTGAATAAATGATTCAGTGATTCACTTATTAAATTAAATGAAATTAAATTTATTCATTTAGCAGACACAAAGCAACTTACAGTGCATTCAGTCTATAAATCTTTTATCAGTATGTCTGTACCCTGGGAATTGAACCCACAACCTTTGCACTGCTAACACAATGCTCTACCACTGAGCCACAGGAACATTAACAGAGTTGAATGCTTTGTTCCTGAATGAATTAGCCATTGTAAGGAATCTGTATAATCTCAATGACTCACTCATTAACAGTCACTTGCTGGCAGTTTTAATTTCACATTTCGACTATTTTTTCATGTTTTAAATTATTTCAAATATCAGTATTCAATGTTTTATGTTAAAAACAAAACATTATTTATCCATCTGTAACTGCAGGTTAAATAAATCCATGTCTCCTCTGTGATACATTAAACGGTGTAAATACATCTAAATGCCACTTCAGATGCAGATTCCAGAAATGTTTTCTTATGTTGGAATGAAAGACACTAAGTACCGGATGAAGTGCTTCTTATTCTTACACAAAAAATGCAAAATGGAAGAAAAAGTTCAAACTGAACACAATCTTGCTACTCAAGCTGTGTATTAACATTGTTTAAATATATATTTATTTGCTTCTTTTCCATTTTGCATTTACTTGTACTTTTACTTTCAATACATAAGTACGTTTAAGATTTTTTTAAAAATCGGTGACTTCAACTTCTACCAAAGTCATTTTCTGGTAAGATATCTGTACTTTAACCTGAGTATGCATGACTTTCGGGTACTTTATACACCACTGCCTGTTAAGGGGAATATGAAAAAAGTAAATAGAAATTCTTATTTGTAAAAGAAGCATTAAAAAAAACATCCAATTCTTTATTTTACAGACCTTAGCTTTTTTTGCTCATACTTTGTTAGTGTCAACCTGTTAAGTCAGAAAACCTAACAGGGTGGACACATTTAGTGTACATAGTGATAGTGAGAGCAACTGATGTTTAAGTTGAAGTAGTAGTGCATTTAAACTTTATTACATTTTACATATGATGTTTTACATAGTGTTTCCACCACAACCAAGTTCAAACTAAATTAGTATTGTAATCAGCTGTATGTCTCCCAAAGAATGTCCATACATTTAATTCATAAATCTTTCAAATTGTTGTTCATTTGTCCCTAACAGGGTGGACATTTTTGGTCCTCCTTCACATTGAATTTGGCTCATAATTGCTTAAATTTAAAAATCTTAGGTCGACCAAAATTATTTTTTACATTTTGCATCTCCCTATCATAATTGCATCAGAATTCATTTTTAAAAAATTTTCATTTTTTAAGTGTTACGATGTTCAAAAGGCACTGAATACTGGGAAGGACCCACATAATCACCACTGACCCTCCAAAACACACTTCTTCAGCGAGCATCAGTTACAAAATACTCACCAGACATGAGACCATATTGAAAAGTGCAACATTGTTGGTTGCTACATACTGCTGTGTGCTCTTTCTGTCTCTCCACATTACTGCTGCTCAACCAGGTGCGGAGGAGAGGAAGGTGATCACTCGCACCTGCCTGCAAGCTCAAAAGCTGTTCAACATGCCTACCACACTGAAGCTTGACTTCCAGAATGTTATACCTCTCGCCTGCCTTGTGTTGCTCTTGTAGTTTTGTCAGAGATTGATACTGTGTAAAACTTACTCGGGTTATGGCTTATTGTAGCCTTCCAAAAGGTAATTAGCTTTGTTGCGCTATGTGTCTCTCTTT